CTGCTGCTGCACCCCACTGCAGAAGAAGTTCAGCACTGGTCCAGAGAGAATTGACTCAAGGTTGACTTCAACATGCCTGAGATCACAGTGTTTGTGGATAATCTAAAAGGCAAACCCATGTGTCTTCAAGGCCAAAGACTGTCATAAGAGCTAAACCAACTCCCTAGAGTAAATCTGGCATGCCCTTGGCCTTTAGAGCTGACAGACTCCACTCCTGAGCAAGAACAAAGTCCTGGGCTGTAAATTAGCACCTTCCACAACATTTCCAGCACAAGATTACAGCTGGTCACTAACGCATCTGTGCCTGCCCTCGATGTTCTACACAGCTATCTATTTAGGTTGCTCTGCATAATTTAAGAATTAAAATTAAACACTATGTTACCTACAGCCACATCATCTTAGATGAGCTTAAACAACTGTGAAATTCCTGTGATCTATTAAAAGCAACATTCAGTGCATGCATTAATCAACAGATGCTCAGTAGCTGTGCATCAGAAAACCACAAGTGAGAAGCAGCCTGAACAGCCTCCTGCTGAAATCATTACTTTCCTTGTGACCAAGTCCTTGAAACAGCAAGTGTGCCGTGATGCTGGAGTGGTGCTTGGCTTGGTTACCTCAGCGGCAGTAACATGGACTGGCCCCTTCTCGCTGGAAACAACAGGTCAAACGAGCAGTGGTATTTCCTGCTGATGAGTCAGAGATGAGACATGACAATCACCATCTCTTCACACAGAACACTCGAGACATTATAATTTGGTATCACCTGTGATTGCTTCACCCACAGTGTGCTGTGCTGAGCGTGTGTGTGCAGCACGGCAGCGCAGGGGAAGAAGACAGCTCAGAGTAGCTGACCGACTGCTACGTGTGCTTGCTGCAATTTCCTGATCTCACACAGTAGCCTGACCCAGCAGCTCTTGTTGCCTCCAGCTGCTCTGATGCTCCCCCCTCTGATGCTCCCTGGGACCCTTGTTCTCCATCTATCCTTTTCCCTTTTCCTGTTTTTTTTTTTTTCCCTTTACATCCTGGCCTTTGTGAGGTTCAGTCCTGGGTTTGTGTTTATGTTGCCAGGCCTCTGCTTTCCTGGCTAAATCTTCCTCCCTTCCACATCCCTTCCTGAATCCTTCCCATGGCTCCCAAACCCCATCTGTGGTTTCCTTTTGGCCAGGGCCAGCAGGCACAGTGAGGACAAGGTCAGTCACCTCCTGAAGACTTACATCTGTACTCATCCCTTTTCTGCACCAGTCCCTCATGATTAAAAACACATGACAGCTAAAAGGCCAGTAAAACAAAACAAGTGTGGAGCTTTCTGATCACACCAGTTGAAAGATTCAAGGAACAAAAACAACCCAAAAAATGAGGCTGAGGCCAAGGCCAAAACCAAAAAAGAAACCCCAAACAAAACAAAAGCAAAGAAATAGCAAAGAAAAAGCAAACCAGTACAATTTCTGGCCTTCTTTCTTAGACCAGATGACCTACTCATTATGCCAAACACAATTCACATGACTAGGAAAGAGAGTTTTAAGATTTTCCTTGTTCTGCACCGGCCTGGTACAGAACTGAACATTGCTCTGGTGACAAGGGCAGGAGCCCTTTGCCACTGGTGAAGATCACACAGGACTCCAGTCATGCCCTTTTCATGTGATCAGTCACTTTTCCACCATTGTCTGACTGGATTTTAAACCAGCAGGAATGGACACAGCTACTCCTGCCTCAGATCAGTGTGGGCACAGCTGTAAGGGAAGAGGAGCAGACACCTGCCATGGCACCAGCCATGCAGTGCAACGAAGGGGCTCCCAGCTGCACAACAGAAAGAGTTCTTCACCCTGAGAGCGGTGCAGCAAGAGGACAGGTCTCCCAGAGCAGCTCCATCCTCAGAGACATTCCATTCCTTAGACATTTTCAAAATTTCTCTGGACAAGACCCCAAGCGACCTCCTCTGACCTTGAAGCTGGACCTGCTGTAAACAGAGGATGGGCTGGAGCTCTCCAGAGGTGCTTTCAATGATATTTTTCCCTGATTTTTAGGAGGACAGGATAATGACCTGCCAAAGAGGACTGGGCTGCACAGCTGGGGAGCTTCTTCCTGTCCTGTGACCCAGAGCACGAGGCGTACTGCATGGAGGAGAGAGGCACATGGCCCCCACTCTCCTTCTCTGCCACAATCACACTGACTCTCTCCAAGTCCCTTTCAACAGAACTTCTGGCTTTTTCATTGTGCTTTCCAGAAAAGCAAATAAAAACTCCAGAAGTTATTATGAGCTAAGACCATGCAAGTTTGCGAAAGACTAATTTCTTCTTAGAGGCGTTCTCAAAGGAAACACTGATGATTCACCTTTTAGTGACCAGCCACTTCCAGCCATCCTTGGCAAACTCTGAATTTTAGTTTTCACAGAAAAAAGGAAGACAGTATTCACAAGGAAATTTCTTGTGTTTCATCAGCTTAAGTGCATCTCATTCTGGATCAAGCTTCATTATTTATGGATGAAGTGTTGTTCAAAATCTCTACTCCAGTGTATAATGAAAACTGAGATCAAAAAGCAGAAGTGCCTGAGTTTCTGATGTGTTGGAGGCCTGCAGTGCCACTGTTTCCAAGTGGAGGGAGAAGTGCACATCACTCTGGAAATCAGCTTGCACCACTTTGGAAAGTGCCAGTCTCATTTTTCACTGTTACCTGTGAGCTCTGAATCACCCCATAGCTGTGCCTCTGCTGAAGCCATGCACCCTGCCCCAAATGCTACTGGGATGCAGAGAATGAGTTAAAGCAGACGGGATTAGCAAACTGCAGATCATCGGAAATTAGCCAGTGTGGAAAAAAACCCTTGGTCAGAACTATGGTAAGACTATCTAAGTAGGTCACAACAAAACCACATCAGAAGAGCAAAGGAGGTGTAGGTTCAGTCTGTCGACATGAAACCAGACATTCTCCAGCTCTGCCCTGCCAGTAACACGGAGAAGAACAGCTACCCTCCTAGTCACTGGTTTGTACAATTCAGGCATGTTCATACCTACTCAGGCGGCTTTCACTTTTAAGTAAATGAGTGTCAGTGTCATAAATCTGAAATTTCATTTGATTAAGTTCACAGCTGATATTTCAGAGGGCCTTTAAAACAACCTGAGGTATTCAACAAGTGTGTTTGAATATTTCCTGAGCTAGTCAAACCAGAAATCAAAGAAATGCATGTGATGCTGTTGTACACTGTCCCACGTCCCTGTCAGCCCAGCATTTCAAACTTGCACTGGATGGATGGATGGATGGATGGATGGATGGATGGATGGATACCCTCAACTTTGTAAGCAGAAAGGTGCTAATTAGCCTTATTTTTCAGGATGCACAGGAGACTTTAGAGACCCAACCCCAGCAGCAGCCTGGGCCAGGAGGGCATTTGAACTTAGTCTAGATAAAGCTGATATAAATTTTATTTTAATTTGCTGATTAAAATTGTTAATCAATTACTCACTGCTATTTCAATTCAAGTGCATTTTTATGTTGGTTTTGAGGCAGTGGCCTTCCGATTCAGCTCAGTGGGACATGTCTGAGGCTTTGTTGCTGCTGCAAGGCCAGGCTGTGGCTGGAGGTGGGAGCTGTGGACAAGCTGTGCCCGGCACAGGTGAGCTCAGCCAGCAGGAAGGGCTCCGGGAGCTGCAGGTGAACGTGTCCGATTGGAAAATCAAAATCAGCATCCACTTCTGCCCGCGCGCCGCAGAGCAGGCCTGGCGTGACGCTGCAGCGCGCTTGGCAGGCATTTCACCCTGGTGCCCAGAGCCGCCTGGGAGCCAGCCTGGGCCTCCGTGAGCGCAGCGGTGGCTCTGGGGACAGGGCTGGCTCTGAGGGACAGGACACGATGGCAGCTGTGGGGACAGTGCTGGCTCTGAGGGACAGGACACGATGGCGGCTGTGGGGACAGGGCTGGCTCTGGGGACAGGACACGATGGCGGCTGTGGGGACAGTGCTGGCTCTGAGGGACAGGACACGATGGCGGCTGTGGGGATGAGGAGCAATGGTGGCTCTGAGGGACAGGACACGATGGCGGCTGTGGGGATGAGGAGCAGTGCTGGCTATGAGGGACAGGGAGCAATGGTGGCTCTGAGGGACGGGGAGCAATGGTGGCTCTGGGGACGGGGAGCAATGGTGGCTCTGAGGGACAGGACATGATGGCAGCTGTGGGGATGAGGAGCAATGGCGGCTCTGGGGACGGGGAGTGATGGCGGCTCTGAGGGACAGCAGACGATGGCAGCTCTGAGGACAAGGAGCGATGGCGGCTCTGAGGGACAGGACACGATGGCAGCTCTGGGGATGGGGAGTGATGGCGGCTCTGAGGGACAGGACACGATGGCGGCTCTGAGGGACAGGACACAATGGTGGCTCTCAGGGACAGGAGACGACGACGGCCCTGAGGACAGCGAGCGATGGCGGCGCTGCAGCCGCTGCCCCCGCCGGCAGGGGGCGCCCCCGGCGCCGCCGGCCCGCTGTCACGTGACGGCCCG